GCCTCAAAATCACTATGTAGCCTGCGCTTGCCTTGAACTCACAGTAATCCTCCTGCCTCATCCTCCTGAGTGCTGGGACCATAGGCATGTACCACCATGCTGGCTTCTGTCTCATTCTTTTTCTTGCCCTCTTGGAATTCCAACTTCGTACGTTATACCTTTCTGGCACACTAAGGTCACTGCGGGGAGGGTGCAGGAAGTGTGGGTGGCTCCTCCGATGATGAGGGCCCTGAACAGCCTTGTCTCCATCTGCCTGCTCAGGTAAACTGAAGGGTATCAAAAAAGCTCTCATACCAGAACACAGTGCTTCCTGGCTTCTGCCCAAGAAACCACCTCCTGCCACTCTCACCCTTGGAGAGGACAAGAATACTTGCTGTTGTCCCCTGCACTAGTACAGCTGGCCAAGAGCCGTGCCTGAGGTCACTTCCTGTGCCCTTTAAGGGAGCCAGACCACTGCCATCTTATCCAGGCCCTCGTGTCTGTTAAGGAGTCGAGGTTCATGTTCCTTAAGTTCCCTTTTCTCAGAATAGACTATCCCAGGCCAAACAAGTCTCAGTCAACTTCATGGGGGTGGGGGGACATACACGGAAAGATTCAGTGATTGTACCCTCAAAAATAGCACTAAGCTGGGCCTGGTGGCGCACGCCTGTAATCCCAGCACTTGGGAGGCTGAGGCAGGAGGATCGCTATGAGTTCGAGACCAGCTTGGATTACATAGTGAGTTCCAGGTCAGTCTCAACTACACAGTGAGACCCTGTCTCAAAAAATTAAAAAAAGAAAGAAAAGAAAAGACCTCCTATGCAAAAAAATTAGCATTTATTCATAATTATAAAAATATATACTTCCTACTTTTTGGGGTGGTTAGAAAGTAATTTTTCCTTTATGAAATGAGTTTAAAAATGGCACTTGGGGGCTGCGGATTTAGCTCAGCGGTTCAGTGGCCTGCCTTGCAAGCACAAGGACCCAAGTTCAATCCCCGGTACCAAAAAAAAAAAAAAAAAATGGCACTTGGTCTTCAAAAAATTAATTTTGATTAAAAAAAAGATTAAGAAACCCTATGGAATTCTAAATCTTTTGGGGAAAGTATTTTTGCATATGAAATCCAGATGTCTGGGCACCCTGATCTACTTTATGCTGACAAGCTGGGGCACTATGTCAGAGAAGAGTAGAGCAGAGTGGGGGGGGGGACAAAGAGGCAGAGAGAGAGAGAGAGAGAGAGAGAGAGAGAGAGAGAGAGA